TGGATCGTAAATATAATTTAGCTAAATATCAAGTGGTTTCTCTCTGTAAAGATTACTCTTTTCTTTCTGAACAATGAGAAAAGGAAGAGCATGAATTATAGTGTCAGTGACACTATATCTAATTTCTCTTCCTTTTTTTATAGTTAATAAAAATGCATCATTTTAGAGAGTTATAATTCATATTCTATGTGTGTTATAGAATCTAGAATGTTACTAGTAGCAAAATCTTCAAGTTCATTAATTCTACTCAATATTTTTATGCCATAAGTAAACTGAGTCCAAAGAAGATTTTCTTTGCCTCAGGTTACAAAGTTAGTTGTAGAGAAAGCTTTCCGAGACAGAGTAGTGCATAGTGAATTAAGAGTTTTGGAGTTCAGGGGCCAGCCCCATGTAGTGGTGGTTAAGTTCTCTCCTTCAGTGGCCCATGTTTGCAGGTTCAGGTCCCTGGCATGGACCTACCCCACTTGTCAGCCATGCCCTGGTGGTGACCCACATATAAAGTGGTGGAAGATTGGCACAGATGTTAGTTCAGGGCTAATCTTCCTCAACAACAACAAAAAAGGCTTAGAACCAAACATCCATTGTGGGGACTGTAATACCAGCAAACAAAATACATCACAGTAAAAATACTACTTAAAAAGAAAAAAGAGTTTTAGAGTCCGACAGACTGAGCTTTGAATCCACGTGACACCAGTTTCTAGTTTTGTGGAAATAGAAAAATTATCTTCTTTGTGCTTCAATTAATTTATCTTTAAAATAGAGGTAATAATATATAATATAATGGTAATATATCTCCTAGAGTTGTGAAAATTAAATCATATGATGCATAAAATGAGATAAATTTATGTGCAATAGATGAAGGTGATAATTATAATCTGCACAGTCATTCAATCATTTGATTATTCAGTTTTTATGTAGAAATAGCTGACATTTTCTTTCACCTGATAGCAAGCCAAAAATCTGACTTAAAAATCTTACCTGGGGGCTGGCCCCGTGGCCAAGTGGTTAAGTTCATGCGCTCCGCTGCAGCAGCCCAGGGTTTCACTGGTTTGGATCCTGGGCGCAGACATGGCACTGCTCACCAGGCCACAGTGAGGCGGCATCCCACATGCCACAACTAGAAGGACCCACAACTAAAATATGCAACTACGTACTGGGAGGATTTGGGGAGACAAAGCAAAAAAAAAAAAAAAAAAAAAAATCTTACCTGAAAACCCTCTTCAAGAATTACTGCAAAGCAATAAGGAAAACAATGGGTTATATAATGTATAAATTCCAGTTTAATAAATGGCTGTTTCCAGAAAATTCCTAACAACATAAAATAAACATCCATAAGTATGTGTTGGGCTACTGGCGTATGACATGGAGAAGGACATCTGGGAAGTTGTTAGAGGATTTAAGAAGATCTAATCTGCATTTTTCCAACTACTCTTATTAAATCTCCCTCTGAACAACAGTGCAGGTTGTGTGTTGAAATGAACAGTGTAATCTGTTGCTAAGAAATTTCTTACTCTACCTGATTTGCATTGGGTTTAATATTATTTTTAATAATACAATGTTACAAGTAACCAAATCAACAGGCTTAGATACCCCTAAATGATTTTTGAATATAAACAATCTTCCTCCTCCTATATCAACCCTAATATTTTTTTTTCCCCTCAAAGCCCTTCATAATTTTATTTTTCCCTCCTCCCTAGTGTACTCCTGCTACAATAAGAAGACTGGTCTTTAGGTCTCTAAATCACATCCCCTTCCCTGCTTATGCCCCTCTTGGCCTGAGCTTAGGCCCAGTGTTTGGCACATAGCAACAATAAACGTTTGCTGTTATTATTATTACATTGCCTTTAAACTCCACCCTTCTTTCAAGGCCTAATTCCAATCCCTCCTCTATGTTCTAACTTCTTATCTGCCTTCCTTACAACTGCTCGTGCAACTAATACTATATTATACGCTACTCACCCACTTTAGTGTCCTGTCTTAGCATTTTTCCCCCTCCAGACAAGTTTTTAAGAACTTATATATTTTACTTTATATACAGTTTTAAAATCTGCGTTTGAGAGCATTCTGTTCATATAAATATACCCAGGTTCAAAGCCATTTAAATTGCTCCATTGTACTGAACTGGTAGAGTGTGTTCATGAATGAAGTCTCCAATTCATCTAATTTGATGCCTAGGGTCTTTCAGTTTGTGGCTACTCAGCATTAGAGAGCCCTGGGCTAGGAAATTAATCCTAGGTGTCCTGCTATGCATTGTCCTAAGACCTAACCAAGAAGACCTAACCTCTACGGACTTCCTTTTCCACACGTAAGAGAACTCCTACAGTCTTTTTGGTCCTTGTAGTTCTAATAATGATTCCATGAATATATGTGTTTATCATATTGGTGAGTGGACCCCCAAGGGTCAGGATCCAAGTGCTTGGAACAGAGCGCGTTCGTGTCATGTGCTCTGCATTTCTGAGATGGAGAGCAGTAGTCCCCCTCAGCCTGGCTCTGTGCCCTGGGATCCTTCTCCTGGGTAATGACAGCATCATCATGAGCAAAGCCAGAAACCCTAACAGTCTGACCATACTCCTTCCCCCTTACTCCTAACATCGGCTCTGACACCAAATGTTAAAGATTCTGCTTGTAAATGTACCTTGATTCTCTTTCTCTCCTCGTAAGCTTAGCTTTAGGGGTGGAAGGGAGGAGAGGTCATCGTATGCCATTCACGACTCAGGAGAAAGAAAAGCTGACTATTAGAGATAAGAGAGAACTGTCCAAAGTGCTTGACCTCTACGCACATGCACTCCGTGATTCATAGGTTTATTCTGCAAATTAGATTGTCACTAATATAGAAAATAAAATCTGATAGCAGTCTGACTATTTTAGTATAACTCAAGTCTGCTACTCCAGTCACAGCATCCCCACCCAGTTCGGGTTCCGCTCTTCTACCCATGTGAATTTCTTTGTTCGCTTCATCTCTCTGGATTGCTTCATGATCTAATATCTTTTGCTGCATGAATTGCTCAGTGTTCCATCTGAAACTTCTTCCTTGATAATTGTTATTATCGGAAAACAATATCAAACAAAATACACTCCTTCTCCCCAGCAATCTGACTGTACCTCCACATCAGCTTCTGTCTGTCCAGAGGATATTTCCATCCATCTGCTCCCTCTCTCCTCTTCCCTCCCTTGTCGGCCCCAACTGCCTGTCCTCATCAGGCTCAGATTTTCCTGAAAGAGGTTGAATTGCACTCCCACACCCCTGATATCCTAGGGCAGCGGTTTTTAAACTTTTTGGTCTCAGAAATAGTTTATATTCTTAAAACATATCGAAACTTCTAAGAGATTTTGTTTATATAGATTATATCTATGAATATTTACCATATTAAAAACTAAAGCTGAGAAAATTTATTTTAAAGTCCATTTCATATTAACGTAAGTAACATATTTTATGAAAACAACTATGTTTTCCAAAACAAAAAAAAAGTGAGAAGAGCAGCATTATTTTACATCTTTACAAGTATCTTTATTGTTTGACTTAACAGAAGACAGCAGAGTCTCATATCTGCTCTTGAATTCAGTCTGTTGCTATATCACACATCATGTGGTCTCTGGAAAACTCCACTGTACACTCATGAGAGAATGAGAATGATAAAAAGCAAATAACATCTTAGTGTTATTACAGAAACAATTTCGATCTTGTGGACACCTGGAAAGCAGTGCACACTTTGCGAACTGCTGCCCTGGGGCCTGGAGAAACAACCAGCTCTCTTAGGCAGTGATGGTCTGGGACCACAAGGAAAATGACCATCTCTCCCTCTCCAAACAAACACTCTTGTGTTTTAGTGCTGTTACAGACAGCCTGTGCTTCTCTGTTTCCCTGTGAAAACTCTTCATTGGTTCATGCTGCTTCCGTTTCCACAGAGCCTCCTTCCCTGCCCTGGTCCCTACCTAATGAGTAACTGTGCATTTTTAAAGTCAAGCTCAGATTTCTTCTTTGTCTGTGAAGCTTTCTCCACTGCTCCAGTTCCTCTGATTGGAACTGACCACGCCTTCTGGACCTCATGTACTCCCAGCCTGTAGCACTTTCTTTTAGTGAGGCATACTAGCATGCTAGCATGAGCCGGGAGCCTGGGGTTTTGACTCCCGACTCTGCTTCTTGTTGGTTGCATGATCTTGAATAAGTTCTCAAGGTCCTGGTTCCAAGTACTTTAGTTTTATCCCCTGTAAAATGGAAATCTCCTAGGGATTTTGTGAAGATTAAATGAGACAATTTCTGCCGAAAGCTAAGAACAGTTCCAGCTAGATAATGAGGTCAACGAATTCCATCTAGCCCTATTTTTAATGCTGTCATAAGTATTATTACATTTCTGCCTAACCTAAATAAACTGCATCCCCCGGATCCACCCGTGCTGCCTGAAATATAGAGACCAAATCAGATTTATTGAATGAATTAAAGAGTAAATAAATAAATTTAGTAGTTCTTGTTAAATCTTTTTTTTGGCCTGAATAATATATTTTTAAATGAATCAGCATAAAGGAACAGTAAGAATTCTGGACCAAGAAGGCAAGGTGCTTGCTTAACTACAGATAACCAGCTAGTAGATCTTATGCAAGTAAATTCATCCTTTCAGAACATCCATCTCCAGAATGATCAAATGCCTTTTGCTCACCTTACAGGATTTTTGAGAGGATCAAATTTAAAAAGTGTACCCAAAAGCAAGCCAAAAACTGCAAAGGGTCGAGTAAATATAGAAGATGATTCTTGTTGGTATCATTATTAAATTGAGTTAGTTGGTTATTTTAATAATGTCTGCTTTCCAATAGGCATTCATCCTTTATTTTCTTATACGAGACGTTATTTTTTCCTTTTTAAAAATGAGACATTATTAAGGTATGCGTGAACTTATAATTCTTTATTTCCAAATGTGGAACATTTAACATAAAAATTGAAACTAAAAAGGAAATATATTTTATGACTTGACTCTACAAATGATCTCTGTGTGTTGTCATTCCAGGTGCCTGTGGTTGCCATCTTGGGCTCAGGCGGAGGGTTCCGAGCCATGGTGGGATTCTCCGGGGTGATGAAGGCACTGTATGAGTCAGGAATCTTGGATTGTGCTACCTATGTGGCTGGTCTTTCTGGCTCCACGTGGTTAGTATACATTTTAAGTCCTAGTCTTATCAACCTAAATGCTTAGCATTTATCTACCTGAAACACTAGAAAAGAAAAAGGGATTTAAAAAATTGAACATTAACTTCAAATTACTGAAATGTTCCAACTTGATGTAATCATTCACTTTATAAAAATGTTCTTAAGGCAAATTCTTACCTAATGAGGACTCACCCTAAATTTACCCCCCTTAAGCCTGTTTGTAACTTAAAATGTAGTTAAACATAAAATAAAAAAAAAAATAGATCAATTGAAATAATTCTATATAAATATCATAGAAGTGAAATAACATACTCCACCCATAATTAATTTAATCTTCCTATAATTTGCTGGTTTGTAATCTTTCAGCGATTGTGTCTAAGTCTGAATGATTTACTAGGTAATCATTTCCTTCTTTGGGGCAAATAAAATGAAATCCAAGATACTTTAGTATACAGAAGAAGGAAAACAACTTTTGAATGCAGAAATGAAATAAATGTCACTGATTTGTATCTAACTTGTTATGAAATTAATCCTTTAAATATATGTAATCCCAGCTAAATTTGGATAGTGAGTTAAAACATCTGTATATAAAATATTTGTACAACGTAGATTTGCCTTTTCACAAATGTATTTATCAAACATTTTCAAAGAAGTTACTACATATTTTTTGGTTTGCCTACCTCACGTAAGCATTCAAAATTAAATATTAGTCCTTGCTTAGATGTCTCAAATAAGAGTACCATTTTATCACAGAATGTCCAACTTTGACTTGCAAGGCTCTTTAGTCACTTAGTCACAATAAAGCTCATCTATCATAATATTGTCTTATCTGTGTCTAGCATTTAAAAATTTCTGTACCTTCTTATCCTGTGAGAGGGACATGAGTTTTTAAATTTTTCAGCCAAAAAAATTTGACTCAGACCAAGTGATTTGTCAAGATCACTAGCAGAGCAGGCGTATAAACTCAGGCTTTTGATCCCCCCTTCTAGAAGTCTTTCAACTTCTCCTGGACAACTATTCTACACAGAGATTCACATTTAAAGAATCTGTAGTTTCTTAAATATTTTGAATGTATTCTTTAGCTGAAAAACAAATCCTAGAACTATGGTTAACACTTTTTTTGTAGGTACCCTCAAAATGATTTATCTCTTATGAAAGAAGGGTGTAGCCCATCATTATTCTTTCCCTTGAAGGAAAGAGCAGGTACCTGCCTGTTTAAGGAGTGATGTGATGGAAAGAGTTAGACCCTTAGATTGATTCACCTACTCAAACATTTTGTTGTTATTCTTTGGGTGGTTTTCTTTCTCTATGGTCACTATTTGTTAGATCCCTGTGGTCCATCACTGACCACTACATTGAAAGAAGCTTACTTTCTTAAACTCATCTACTAAAGAAAGAGCAGGCCATGAGTACTGATTTGGGGGTATGATAGTATGTGTTTGGGCTTAATTAGAGTTGCAGTCATTGCTTTGGTTATAGATTTGGGGCAACATCTTACATTCTCCTCTCAGGGTTCTGAAAACAGGTTCTGCAAAATGTAATTAAGAGAATTTTAAATGTTATGGGCCAATCATTTAAATATTGCAGGCCACACATTTATATATACATAAACTTCTGCTCTATCCTTCCATGTCTAATTTCCTCAAAGATTAGGCTTCTCTTCTTTATTCCATTTCCTTAAAGGCCACTCACTCCTAAAATCCTTACAATCAATTTTCACCCACGCACGATCTAATTTGCCAATATAGTGGTGTCTTTTAGAGTTCTTATTCTTTTTGACTTTTTGGGGGAGTCAGGAAGGCTGAGGTTTGGAGTGGAGACGTTTCACACGTTGACTTGTCCCTCTTTCAAATCCTCCTTCCCATGCCTTTTTTGTTTTTATTTCATCCTCTCTGATTGCTCTCTTTCCCGTGTTGTCTTTACTGCTCTCACTGCTTTTCTCCTTTCCTCTAGGACCCCTCTTTTGTTCTATTATGTCTACATATCCTCCCTTGGTAATTTCACCAACTTCTACCACGTCAGTTATTACCACCAATAATGTAATTCATGGAAGTCTAGGACATCCCCAAAGTTAATGGGCCAAAAAAGGAAAGAACACCCTAACGGAGAATGTAAAGTAGACGTCAGAGAAGAGAATCAAGTAAAAGATGAGTTCCAGAGGTCGCTGGTGGAGAGTACTTGGAGAAGTCATGGGTATTTTAATGGAGTGAAACATCTGTGAGAAGCTTAGCTTACAACTGAGTTTGGAGATCTTTAGTGGTTTCACCAAGAATCCCTAGATAAAGCAAATAAGAGGCGCTTTTGATCATGAAATTGCAAATAAGAAGAGAATAGAAGGTGAAAGGAAGAAAGGTGGGAAAATGAACCTATAGGATCTGTCTATTATTTCAAGAGGGGAATATAGGACCCAGGGCAGAGGGGTTTGTTGTGTTTTGTTTTCAGAATTTAAGAGACAAGCATTTTTGTGGAATTCCGAGGTGAAGGAAATAACCTAGAGTAAGAGATGGTAGATAAAGAAATAGATGGATCGTGGATAGAAGGTTCAGGCAGAGACAGGACAAGTGAAGGTGTTAACCATGGAGAGAAGACACTTCCTGAGATGGAACAAAAGGTGGTCAGGACGATTCATGTTAATGGTTCTCTCTTGAAAAGTAAAGGTGAGAAGGGAAAAAGTTCAAAAAAGGAATTCGGAAAGACTTGAAAAAACAAATTGCACTCTTGTGTTATGTAAGTTTTTATACTTTACTGGTACGTGACCATTACTTGGCACAAATGAGGTAACACGGAAATATCTGAAGAAGCCCTGGACCTCCCAAAAAGTTTTCTGTGACCACAAAAGAGAATTTTATGTAGGACAAAAGCTTCCCTCGTAACTGCTACTACTTTTATGGTAATTATTTCTGAAATTATTTTTGGATGATACTTGTTATTCATTAAATATAAGTATTCACCAACTGGGAGAACTGACATGAGTGAAATAGGAGAATCATGTCAGGAATCCTGAGTAATCCTGCTAATTACTCGGAACTCCTCTCTTCCTCAGTACAGCTGTTCATTTGTAGTATTATTAGGGGCTACTGGATATTGACTGCTGTGTTTGCCTGACATTACCAGCAAAAGAGAAATGAGAGCAGCTCTGTATCTGCAGACAATGGGACCTAATTCATTAAACTGACTGAAATGGAATTCAAGAATGAGAACTTTCAGTTTAACAGTCTGAAGAATTCCTGGAATATTGAAAAATGAAACAATTTTGACAGAAGTTGTTGCATAAGAGGTGACAGGCTAGAAGATCAAGATGTTTCTTAGAGAAAATATGTCGTTTGAGGTGGGGACTACGCTTGTCTTGTTCACTGATGAATCTCTCCCTCTTATGGTATGTTTAATGGCTAAATGAAGACTTGCATAAGTAACTGTATTTTGGGGGATTTCTTTAGGGTTTTAGGATATTTGCTTCACAAATTTGAGTCTTCTCAAATCATTCCAAATTTTAGTTGCATATAAGAATCATTTTTGTCACTTTTTTTAAGCACAGAAATTCTAGATGTTTACCCCTGAAGATACTGGGGGCCAGGTACAACATTGACTGTCATTTGGAGGCAGAGACTAAACTGAGAATTCCTTGTTCTCTGGCATGATTTAGCTTTTAAAATTTCACACTTAGCCTAAAATGCATTCAGATGGAGAGAATGAGGTACCCCTTCATAAAAAATATGTAGAAAAAGTAGAGGCAAATATTTTCAGATTTATAGAGAAATAAATTGAAGACCCTTTCATTCATTAACCAATTATTTCTAGAGGCCCTCCTATGTGTAAGACACTTAGCTTTTGAAACTTGATTGGTATAATTGGAAGTGATTTATTCGTAAAGAAATGAAAATTAAGGTGTAACTCTAGAGTTGCAAATTGGGGTGATGTTTGTGTGCTTTAGATGGTAGTATGTCCACAGAAGGCAGTAATAGCTGAATCCTGCCTTGGTGCAACCAAGGAAACCAAGAAAGCTATTTAAGGAAAACTGGTCATTGTCTACTACTCCATCTTTAGCTATCACCAAAGCCAAAACTTAAGTCTTGGATGTCACCACAATGACAGCATGAAAAATCTGTCAAACTCACATTTGTCAGTTATAAGGAATCTAGGTTCATAAATGCTGGACAAGCAGAGAACATTAGCCCAATGCCAATGGTTTAGGTATTCTAGGTCTTTCTGTCTCTAGGGTTGGTATCCTCAAGCCAACTGCTTCATGATAGGGGAAGAAAGAGAAAGGAGAGAGGGAGACTCCCTGAGTGAGTGAGTTTACTTCAACCTTTGGAAAGCAGAAATGGACTGCAATAGGTTACATTCTATGTGAAACAAAAAGTGAGAATCGGGCTGACATCCGTATACATTTTGACCTGTTAAAAACATCTACCTCTGAAACTGTGGCACAGAGTCCTAGCTTTTGACCAATTCCCCAACCCCAGAGGAAGGATTTTCTTAATCTAGGTCGAATGGCTAAAATTGAGAGGAAGGGAAGAGAAGAGAAGAGCTTCAGATCTTGCTGGAGGCAATCCATGGGGTGGAGGGACTTGTTAGAATCATAAATTGATTCTTTACAGAGCAGCTAAATATAGATGGAGACGGGAAGTCTTAAATAATGTAAAGGAGATCTGAGTAATTATACCATTCTGCTAAGCAGTTAGAAATGACAGCTTCCAATAGCAGAATGATCATATCATTTCCTTTTTGCCTACCTTTTTAAAAAAATCGTTCTGTGGCTAAATTGATTTCTACTGACATTTAAGTGTTTGGTTCTTTTCTTTATTTTTACCCAGCTTCATTAAGGAAAGGATTTAATATATCCTATTATAAAGTAAAACTGGTTTGTTTATAATAAAGATAGAAGTGAAAAATATATAACTAGAAATTAGATTAAAAATTCATGCTATAACCGATAGCTTTGAAAGGTATGAGACACAGGCTTGAGTTTAAGATTTCTAGAATTTAACGCAAAATTCAAACTATGTGCAGTTACATAATATACATTTTTAATAAATTAAGGGCAAGTCAATGGGGGTAGAAATTATTCTTGGTAATAAGACCAGGAAAGAACTTAGTGTGCTCATAAAGAATGAAGAGTATCCTGAATAGGTCCAGAACTGACCACTGAGGAGCTCAAAATGGTGTTTTATTTTCCTATTTTTCTTATGTCCTTAAAGATAAACCAATATCATTACAGAAATGTGTGCATTTATTGAAAAGTACGGTAAGGTCCAGGAAATCAGATCTTTGTTGCTCCGGATGAATCATGTGGTTGACTTCAGAATAACTGCGGGAATGGATGAACTCCGCATCTCTCAACCAACCTAAGCTGTATTTTTTTTTTTTTTTTGGAGGAAGATTAGCCCTCAGCTAACTACTGCCAGTCCTCCTCTTTTTGCTGAGGAAGCCTGGCTCTGAGCTAACATCCGTGCCCATCTTCCTCTAGTTTATACGTGGGACGCCTACCACAGCATGGCTGCCAAGCAGTGTCATGTCCGCACCCGGGATCCGAGAAGCGGAACGTGCGAACTTAACTGCTGCGCCACCGGGCCGGCCCTCCTAAGCTGTATTTTTTAGAGATATGTAGTGATTCTACCAGGCCCGAGTTCAGAGGAAGCCTATTTGATTTATCTTTATCAAATGTTTGTGGGAAATGTTAGGAATTCAATTTGTGTAATAAAGATGTCTTCAGAATTTCTCATTTTTTTGACAGAGTGTGCATTCCATTTTAGGTCTGTTATTCCCCCCCATTTGTTAACTTACAATTATTTTCAATTTGTCTTCAAAGAACTCTGAATCCAACAAGAAATTCTAATTTCCTGTGAAGTGGGAATAGTTTGGTCTCTAAGAACAGAAATCTTATTTGAAATATTTTTTAAAATAAAGCCCAGCAGGGGAGAGGACAAATTTTAAATTGTAGTTCTTCTGTTATTACTTGGCGTACTGTGAACATGTATTTAAATTAATCGATCCTCTCCTTTCTCATCTTTAAAAAAAAGAATTGAAAGTTGTTACAAGTCTTCAAGATAATAGTTTATGAGCAATTAACCAGTGCAGACCTAGAACATAGCAGGGACCCAACAAGAGTTAGCTTTCTCTCCTCCCTGAAGGGAAGATAAATCATTAATGATAGGCATTTAGGTTGAATGTCAAGGAAACAGGAGATTAAAATATGTGGTATTTTTCTTTGGTTGGATTAAGTGGTGCAATATTTCTTTCTTTCATTATTTTGTTTTCTAAGTCCAAAAAACTGTGCTTGCCATATACCAGGCATTTGCTAGTCATTGAAGCTAAAGATGATAAGCAAAGTTTTCCCTGCAGGAAATCACAGCTTATGAAGGGAGACAGAGAAGTAAACTAATAATTAATATTCAGTATGAGAGCTACAATACTAGATATATTGGTTGACAGGAAGGAGGGTGGTAACTGAACATTTATTGTCTAAATGTTAAATACCAACACACGTGGTTATTTCCAGCATTACTAGAAGTGGCCAAATGGCTAGTGGCCAAGAATCTTCACAAGAAAGTATTTATCTTAAAAATCTACTCCTCTCCAGGATTTCACCATCAGATTTGTATGCTCAGAATTTCTGAGACCTACAATTGGTAAGGCCTGGGATTTTGTCTAATTGGCCAAGGGACAATTTAAAAAAAAAAAACACCTTTGTCAGGAGAATTAGGTACTCACAGGAGTTCAGACAACTCCTTTTCTACCTGTGGATAATCATCCTAAAAAGTCAGATTACCAGATTGCTTGGCTGGTATTGTATCCAGACAAGTCAATTTATTTACATGACTCAAATGTGTGAGTTATCAGTTTCTAATAGTCTGATAGGGATTCCCCCTTCCCAGAGACTGGACAGTGGACAGCAGGCCCGGTAGGGCTTCCTCTCCTCCGGACTGTGCCTGAGAAGTCCAGTGTTTCCTCTGAGCCTTCTCCTTTACTTTGCTTCCATTGTAGACCAGCTCCTTTCTGACTGATGCATTCTTTCCTTAATTGGATTAATATCTTTAATCAGAAAATCAAGTGAACCAACCATTTCTTATCACAGAGAGTGCCTGCTTTCTTTGGAGACTTCTATGTAAGGCCCTTTATTTTGACTGATTATCTTTTGTTTTCTTTACAGGTACATGTCAACCTTGTATTCTCACCCTGATTTTCCAGAGAAAGGGCCAGAGGAGATTAATAAAGAGCTAATGAAAAATGTTAGCTACAACCCCCTTTTACTTCTCACGCCACAGAAAATTAAGAGATATGTTGAGTCTTTGTGGAAGAAGAAAAGCTCTGGACAACCTGTCACCTTTACTGATATCTTTGGGATGTTAATAGGAGAAACACTAATTCACAATGTAAGCTATGGCTTGATCTACAATCCTTTTAATACAAGGAGATCGTGTATATCATAATAGTTTAGATGAAACAAAATATGATACATTTTGTAAAAGTCACTTGGCTCAACTTACCCTATCAACAATGGCACTGAGCACATACACCCTGCCAGGCATAACTCTTCTACGTTTCAAACTAGTGCTTACTAATTCATTCTGTCTATCAATTTTGATGTGTAGGGTAGGACTTTTCCATTCCTCTTTGGAAAAATACACATTTTAACCCTTAACCACTCATTCTCCCCTAATGGTAATCTTTTTCGATAAGGAGGTGAAGGTAAGTAGTATTTGAATAGTAGAGGAAGAATAAGGGTTGCCTGGAGAGAGTCAGACAAGGGAGTGAATCACATGGAACAAATCCTTTTGACATATGACCACATTGTGACATTTCATCTGAGATAAAGCGGGGGAGATAGAGTCTGTGCCAGGGAATCCGCGGGCTAAATTCTTTCTGGGCGCCACAGTTGCCAAATCGTTCTCCGGTTCAGTTGTAGACATAGTCCCTAGCGTGATGGTTGTTTTTAGAATGAAGATAATTACTTCCATAAAGCTGACTTTTTCTTGTTTATTCAAGACCCAGAGATTTCTAATGGCTTCTTTTTATTATAAAAATTTTAAGTGTCTTGATTGGAAGTACTCTTTTAAATAGTGTTCTATCTGTATCTGTTTGTATATTTAAAACCATTTCTTTCTTTCTTTCTTTCTTCTGTGGACAGAGAATGAACACTACCTTGAGTAGTTTGAAGGAAAAGGTCAATACTGCACAGTGCCCGTTACCTCTTTTCACCTGTCTCCATGTGAAACCCGATGTTTCAGAGCTGATGTTTGCAGGTTTGTAATTTCCTCTTTCAGAACATTTCCTGGAAACTTTAGACTGTGGTTTCTAATGATTATCTTTAGAGGAAAGTCATAAGCAATTTCAGTTGCTGATTTTAGTACTATATTTTCCGTAACATAAAAATATTTGAAAATATAAGAAAATATTAACCTAGATGATGTTGTGGTTGTAGAGAATGTTCCATGAAGCTAGTTACTACTATATCCTCATTTAAATTAATGAAATCAAAAATAAACTATAAAAAATAAATCATGAATATAACCAATAACTCAATTTTAATTACCCATTTCTCAAAGACTTTTAACAAAAATTGTGTGTGTAGTGCTTTTAGACGGTGCATATACTTTTGCTTGCTGCTTATATTTTCATTGAATTGGGTAATATGACATATGTTTATCATTCAAAGCACTGTTCTGATTTTTATAATTCAGCACCTAAAAGGTACTAGTCTGTACTTGTGGCAGCTGGTGAGCTAAATGCTTCGTTTTGTTAAATCTCAGACGTCAACACTTGTTTCTTCTGTAGCTTCACCCCTCCTTAGGTGCTCTAAATTATGTGACATCATACTTCTGGGGGCCTCTGCCAGTCCTAATCTGCAGTGTGGTAGCATTTCTGACTGTGGCTGGTACGGTTCGTTGTATTTTTAGGGAAAGTATCTCAGTGACGTCAGTCACATCATAAGCTTAAAAAATCATTGTGAATGGCATGTAATTAACAGATTTATATCCAGAATCCTTTTGCAATCTTACCAAGGCTCACTTTTTTCCTCAACTGACTACTCTCAGTTAGGAATTTTGAATCGTTTATAAAAAGTGGTGCACCTGGAATTCATTCATTCAACAAGTGTTTAATCAATTACATTGACTAAAATGTTTATCATGCTTATGGTTCCGAAGTCACTTGTTTATTATCTTATTCAATTTTTACTACAACCCAGGGAGGGAGGTATTTTTAGCTCTGCTTCAAAAAAGAAAAAACAAAACCTCAGAAAGATTAAGTGATTTGCACATTGCCACATAGAAAGTAAGTAGCAGAACTGAGAATTGGTCTTGAAAATCCTTTGTACTTTATATAAAATTATTGCCTTCTCTGATTACTAACCATGTAGAATGTAGTACACCAGATGCTAAGTGTGAACCCCCCTCCCCCACCACGGCATACTGCCCCTGTCCTTTAAGGCCTTATAATCTGTTTGGGAAATTTACAATAATTACTAAAGAAGTTAAGGCACAAAAAGGAACAGAATGCTACTAGGCACTGTTCCCTAGACCAAATTACATGACATCTTTTCTCTCAGTTTCCTCATCTGTTAAATGAGACTGAAACTCTCCTCATAGTAGTTTGCTAAATAAATAAGATAAAGTATGTAAAATACTTAAAAGAGTGGCAGGCCCAAATTAAGTTTCAGTAAATCTTAATAATTTAGAGTGTTCTATGAAAGCTGCATAAGAAAGTCAGAGGTCTGGATCTTAAAGGTAAATTTGTATATGTATATGTATAAAGGTAAATCTTAAAGGATTTGTATATGAAAGGCAAATTTAATTATTGGTTGGGGGAACAAGGCACACAACAGGATAAGATAAGCATGGTCTTCCCAGCAGCAACAAGGAGCCATACTTTGGCGGTAATGGAGATCATAGGGAGAGTTGAGATTTTATCATAGAAGAAAAGTTAGTGCTATGATGAAATGTCTTCTTTTTTGTTTTTGTTTTGTTTTTGCTTTCCCATTGCTCTGGTCTTGTGAGGTCTTGAAATGTTTGGAAATGATTTGATAAATAGCACTAGCAATCTGTGCATAGCAAAATAAGCCAGCTTTTACCCCAGAAGCATCATGATATGGTCAAACAAGCGGTAGACTAATTTGAAAGCCTTGTCTTACTTCTAAGCTGAAATAGCTTGGGCAGGTCACTTAATCTCTCTGATTCTTATTTTCCTCATTATTAAAAAAAAAAAAAAGGATGTTAATAAACATCAAGCTTATCTTACAGAGCTATCAAGACAATCACCTGAGATTTGCTTAAGGCTGAAGATGATCAAGAGACAAAAGTATAATAGTTTTATTACCATCATTACAACTTTTCTGGCATTTTCACAGTTGCCTCTTTTTATTCTGAACTATTGGTCAGTAGCCATTCTCAAGAGAAAATCTGACTAAAATAATTAAAGAATAAATAATATTCCAGTGAGTGAATATTTTGGATTCATCTCAAGTGAGAAAAATCTGTTTTATGTTCAGTTAGGAGTCTTTCTACCTGCATATGTCCGATTTGGGCCATCTGCCTAACTGCAATGTTGTTACTGAGATGAGAGATGCACCATTAACCTTCATTGTTAAATTTCTATGATAAGGAGTTTCAAGCTGTTTCTTCCAACAGTGTTGGACAAAGCCATCAAACGTTAGTTATGTGGATCTTGTATCCAGATAAGAAATTCAAAGCTGCATGTTACAGGGTTCAAGTAGCTTGAGTTATTGAGAAAAAAAAAAGAATGGAGACATGTCTCTATTTTATGCCTTTAAAATTTGCTTAGATTAAAAATGGATACCCAGGGGAAAAAAGTTGACATATTATCTAAATTATATTTTAAAAAGTCAACCAAATTATCTTAGCTTATAGAAGTTTTATCAACTTTACTTCAACAATATCAGAGAATGTTTTTCTTCTCTCTTAGAATAGTTTTAAACATTTTCCGCTTTTGAAGGTTTAAAAAAAATAAACGTTAGTTGTTTAAACTCCTAAGTATTTTTGACTCCTCCACTTCGCTGTGTTGCTGAGAGGATTTGTAACTTTTATTTTAAAATTTTCATTGGTCAGTAAATTGCATTTTCTGAGCATAACTTATGGAGTCTATAGCACGTTAAGTTCTTTGACAGACACTATAGGAATAAAAAATATAGAATTCTTCCTCAAGAAAGTTACAATCCCATTAACAAGACAAAAATAAAACATGAAAAATCAATTAGCCATACACATAGAATATTATTATCTACTAAAATGTGTAGGACTGGCATAAGTGCAAGGTATCATAGAGATTTAGTATATTCTCATCAGAGATGTCATGAAGGTGATGGAACTCAGATTTGAGTTGAACTTGGAACGATCTATCAAGTGGAGGTGAAAGGTCATCTTTGTGTGAAACAGGATGAGAAAATGCTCAGAAGGGAAGCCAAAAGTGTGTTTTGAGGAGCAGTACAAAGAAACTAGCTTTGATAAGGACTGGTGAAGAGTAGGTGGTATATTTGGTAAAACCATTAGTGCCCAGTTATAGAAAGATTTGCATTCCAGACAGAAATGTTTTCATTCCATTACGATCATAATGGGAAATATTTAATGCTTTTGGGTAGGGCAATGAATTATTTAAGTAGTGTTCTTGGAAAAAGCATTTTAGTGATTCATATAGGTAGATTGGGAAGGAAGGCAGCTGGAAACCGTCATATTTTGTAAAAAGGTCCTGGAACTAGGGAGATACTGATAAGGAAAGAGAGAAGATGGATGAGAAAAGCCTAAATGTTACTGGTGAGATGTGGTGATGGATGGATTGGGTAAAAGAGTGGTTTCAGTTAAAAAAAAAGTTTTTTCTGGCCTGTGACAGCATTTACAGAAACAGGTAAGCTAGACTGAGAGGAAAGGTTATGAGTTCCTTTCCAGGCAAGTATAGTGGGATGTGATGGCAGTATATCCAAATGTAAATGTGCAGCAGGAAATTGGGCATGAGTAGATAGAGGTGCAGCAGAGAGGTTCAAATTTGAAGCGCACAAGTCGGCAACAAAGGAATAATAGTCAAATACTACTATAGTGAGTTCTTCAGTAAGGATTGGAGAGCAAATCTTGCCTCTTGAGAATGTCTGTAATTACTGTGTGCATGAGCCACCACATCAATAAGGAAGAGATTACTAGAGAAGTAGGAACCAGGAAATTATGCTTCATTACCCAAGATGGGTGTGTGAAATTCAGAGATAGGAAATTACTTGTGTGATATAGAAATTTCCCTAACAACGTCTGATTCATTGCTAGTCATGTCTCACTAACTCCATGTAAATCATTATAAAACATACCACTGTCTGATGAAGACTATATGTGCCATTTGGTTTGACTTGAAATGAATTATAATGTGTTCTCATCACAACTGTAGTTTCATAACTTCCTTCACAAAAGTAGAATGTTCTGATCTACCACTGAGTAAACAAATATATATTCACAATTCCTTTCCCAAAACTTTAGGAGCAGATGTTTTGGAATTCAGAATATTTTCGACTTTAAACTTAAAAAAATAGTTACACTGTATATTACATAATGCCCCACTGGGTTCTTATGATTTCTCCAATAGAATGTATCGATGTTCTCATTGAGTGAGATAAATAAAGATTAAGCCTCACAGCACTTCAAGATTGGTTTTTCTGCTAAATGAGTTCAGGTCAGGTTTTACCACCAAATGAAGAGCAAAAAATCCTTGTGGATTTTGGAGTTATTTGGATTTTGGATTTGTTGGATAAGGGGTTATGCACATGTTATAATTTCAGAAAAGGAGAAAAGGAAGAAGTGGAAAAAAAAAGGACAGAGGGTTATGAGTAAGGCAGGGGTGGATGGAGGTGGAAATTTATAGAGGATGGTTAACAAAGACCTTGAGCTACAGGTTAAGAAGGAGCAAGCCTTATAATTGCAGAAGGGAATAGCAAGCAAAAAGGTGCTGAGGTGGCAATGAGATTGCCCTCTTTGAGGAATATTAAGAAGGCTTGTGTGGCTGAAGTGGAATAAGCAAGACAAAACATGGTAGGAGATTGGTTAAATCATGTGGTCAGACAGACAGCATGAACGAGACCATCATGAAGCCTTGTTGGCCATGTTTTTACTTTCAGTCTAACGGTAAGCCGTTGGAAAGCTTTCAGCTGGCATTAGTGCACTGTGATTTATATTTTTAAAAATCCATTCTGGCTACAGGGTATCAGAAAGATAGTAGGGGAATAGAGAAGATATGTTTTAGAAGACTATTGTGGAGATACAAGGCTGAGAGAGTATGTCAGCTTGTACCAGTATGGGCATGGTGGACAAATGGATAAGTAGCCAGTTTCTGGCCATATCTGATGATGGAGCCTACAGAACTTGATTTTTTGTATGTGAGATATAAAGGAAAGGGAACCATCAGGAGCAATCCTAACGTATGAATAGTGGCATGAATATGTAAAAAGTAGTTACTCTTTACCAAGAAGAGAAAGGCTGAGAGAGTGGCAAGTGTAGGAAATGGGAGTCAGAAACCAGGAATTCTTTTCGGATACATTCAAATTCAAATTGTTAGATGTAGTTATAACAATAGGAATACATGAAATATAGTAGTGGCTACCATTTATTGAGCAATTAAAATGTGCAAAGCCCTTTTCTAAGCTCCTTGCGTTTCATAACTCATCAGATCTTCACAACGGTTCTACAAACTATCCACTGATTTTATTCACAGTTTACAGATTAGGGAACTAAAACACCAAGAGCACAAGTCACCTATCCAAGGTTGTATAGTTAGGAAGCAGCAGAATGGGATTTGAACCCAGTGCTCTGGCTCCAGAGCCTCTGCTCTTAGAAAGTTTATTCTATCTACCCTATTACCATATATTTCTTAAGACATTTAGCATAAAAATTTTGCATTGTAATCTTGTGAGTTAGGATAATGGTTAATAAGCCAAATTAAGGAAAGATGAAGAAAAGACAAATGTTACAAAACGCTTTCTTCCATTTTCATAGTCTGCTTGCATTATCAGAAAGAATTTAATTCCTTCTATCTCCTTCATGAATTTCACGTCTGAGTAAGTAGTTTTCAATTTTCCATTCTTTAGAATTAAAATGGACTTTATAATAGATGTCTTGAGTTTTTAAATGCAAAAGCGTATTCAATCTGTGCAAATTAGAAGGGATCATTTTGTCTTCTCATCTTATTCATTTATTAGCATTTCCCCCCCAACTTCTATACAATACCATATACATAATAGGCATTTGGTTAATTTTTAAAAAATATTTTAAATAAATGAATGAGAACAATCATGGCGTTGCTGATGTGATCTTTAGCTGTGCACATCTTTGTAGTATTTTCCTATTAATGGATTGCGTTTTTTTCAAATGCTTTCAGATTGGGTTGAATTTAGTCCGTATGAGATTGGCATGGCTAAATATGGGACTTTTATGGCTCCAGACTTATTTGGAAGCAAATTTTTTATGGGAACAGTTGTGAAGAAATATGAAGAAAACCCTTTGCATTTCTTAATGGGTAAGTGATCACAATCTACCACTAGTTTGACTGTTTTACGTCTAGGTACATTCTAAGTTATTTTCTCTTTTTTGCTTTACTTTAGGTGTCTGGGGCAGTGCCTTTTCTATATTGTTCAACAGAGTCTTGGGAGTTTCTGGCTCACAAAATAAAGGTTCCACAATGGAGGAAGAATTAGGTATTGTAAAAACATGCTTACATTAAGAATAATTATGCCACATTGATACATTTCATTAATGTCTGTATACACAGAAAATTAAATCATCATAAAGATTGTCGTTGTTTTAAACTTATCAATAATTTGGTTGAAAATCAAGCTAAATATTTCCTAGAAATCATATGTATATTCCTTCTTAAGTATTATTCTGACAATGATGTTTGGAAATTCATAAAAACCATTGATTCTTAAGAAGAATTTTTACTAGGGCATCTCCACTGCTTTTTAGTCATTATACATCTAAACATACTACGTGTGTTTGAGAATACTTCTTTTATCAAATAATGGTAGCTTTTTAAAGATTAGATTCATCAACCGTTAAACACAGTATGACACAAAGGTAAATTCATACTTAGCAGCTTATTTATCCCTTAAATACTAACTCACTAGAAGTCTGTTAGCTTCTGATAGCTAATTCATAGCAAAAAGAAGGAAAAATATTTCGAACTGTGGTAAACTAACAGTAATGATTTTCTTTAAATCTAATTCATTAGTCCATAATAAATTAAAAATAATATTTACAAAACTTGAAAAAGTAGACTCAACTGAGGCCGAGTGATTTTCGTTCATTGTAAGAAGAAAGCCACAGGAACATAGGTTTTCTTGGGTGAAAATTTTGACTTTAAACTTAAAGCAAACAAAACGTACATTCAGTATCTCCCAAACACCTTGCCCTCTGTATTGTAATCAACACTAAATTTCATGTGGCTATTTTGACTCATAGCAGGAAGGAACAGTAGAATGTTAAATCTGTATTTAGGGCCAGCCCAGCAGGAGCTGGGGAGGAAGGTCGTGTAGATTAGCAGTATGCTAACTGCCTACTACCTCTTCTCTGTCTGTGAGCTATCACATATCTATTTGAGGACAGAGCTGACTAAATATCATAAATGCCTTTTTCAACAATCAATTCATTTGAAGATTACTTGCATGTAAAAAAAGTTACTATGGAATTTTTTTTGACAAGCTGCCTTTAATTATTCCAGAAAATGGCGGTTGATTTAGTTAAGCTTTATATGCATGAAAGAATACAATTGAAACATTAATGAATACACTAGAAGTTGGCTTAAAAGTAGTGTTACCACTCCTTTTGCAAGAACTGATTTTATTTATTTGATATAGCAAGCGTAGTCCTCATATTAAGGACTACTACTGTAACATATTATGTTATATTAAGTCCTACAATCCTTTGGTCCTTCATATTTTCTTCAGCAGCATTGTTTGCATTTTTGGGTAGTTCTTAATAAGTCATAGAGAAGTGATCTTATGATTGCACTACAGCCGAAGATTTTAAAGTAAAAATAAAAGCAACCAAAACAAGGCATTTCGTACTTGAACTTGCTCCTGTTGTGTGAGCATCAGTCAGTCAGTAAGCAGCCAAGGTTGGTGGGTCTCTTGAGCCTACTCTGACCTTAATTACAGAGCCACATTCTCTTCAGGGTCACTGCAAGACAAAGTGTAGAATGCTGAAATGCTCTGGCTTGATTTATTTTAATGAACGTTATATCCCAGACGAATATCCTGTTCTCAACTTTAATTTTGTGGAAATAACTAACTCTTCTCTAAATTGTGTGAAGATTTCAGGAAAAAAAAAGAGAAAAAAAGCAGATGTATCAGGTATTATGAGGCTCACTTCCCTGTGCTCCTCTGTTGAATAATCCAGATAAACCTAGGGTTTGTTATTTTTTCCTCCTGAGGCAGGAAGAGAATAGGACTGAAACAACATGTTGAAGGTGGGCGAGACAATGGCCGAAGGCCAAGGAAAAGGAGAATGTTTATACTAAATAGTCTTGAGAATATTCTTTGCACTGAGACATCCCCTTTGAGGCCCATGGTTTGGCAGCTTATTTACTTGTTCTGTGTGGCAGACTTAGGGGGAATGTTGTGTCCCCGAGAACCACCAGTCAGCAGGATACGTGCGACCTCAGATTAGGTAAGGGTTTCCAGAAATGACACCAGAGAGGTGACTGAGGGAACTCTGAGGATTCCCGGTGACTCTTTCATCCACTGGCTGACTTTAAAAGGTTACCTCTTAAAGGGTGTTCAAACATAGTTTCTGTTTCTTTTTCTCCCTTCTAAAGAAAGACGTTAAGGTAAATTGGACCACAATCAGTTGACTCTAAAAGAAATTCTCTAGGAGTTTTGAATATATGCGGTCTATGCTTTTGAACAGATGAAGCTATATGTTATACTATGGTGATGGAAAATAGATAAATTCAGAATATTTAGCTTTTTGTATCATGAAACTTCATTATAAAGAAGACAATATTTTGGTGAACTGTCTTCTTAAATGAGAGTATCAAATGTGACAAAAAATAAAAGAAAAGAAATGCATAAGGAAATAAAATTTTGTCCTGCCAAATTACATATAGGACCAGAAACATACCTAATGCTTATGGCCCCTGGAGTGGATCATTTCTTAGCATCCTCTCTCCTCTATACAACAAAATTAGTTTCTGTAACAGTCATGGAATGAAATGAATAATAATATTAGCCAGTGAACACTTTCTTTTATTGAATTTCGTATGTGTAATCATGACAGTAAAATTAAATAAATCTAAAAATTTAAAAAGTCAACCTACTGACTCAAGCATTTATTGATTTTTCCATTGTGTACTCTTTATTATTCATGGACATGACATTTATGTAGGTATAATAAATGCATGGGGAAGCCAAATGGTATATCTATATTTCTCTGAGTGTAGAGCCCCAAAATGATTCTATCACTGAAAATTATAAATTTGGAGTCAGTTTTTTAAAATTAAAAAAGAATTCTATTGACTAATATAAGAAAAAAGAGGTCGCTATACAGAATGTGGTTTCATGTAAGTGTCCAAAGAAAGTTTGATTTTTCTGCAAATGATGATTATAAGAATGGTCTGTGTACCCCATAATTTAGGTACTTCTTACTTGAAAAAAGACAACTAGTTATGCTAGATTTTACTCCTGGTTGTTGTTTTTTAAAGGATTTATGGGTTCTATTTCAGTTTTTATAACTGCTCTCTTAATATCTTCTGAGGAAGCATAAATTCTCAACATTTTAGCAGACGATTTTCATTATTATTGAAAATCAAAAGATAACTTCTATAAGGAGCTTTCATTCATTTTGATGAAACTGTTCTGTAGCCTCACCCCCCTGGCCCCCACCGTAGGTTTTGGTTTTACCCTGGATTTTCCTTCATAACCACTACTTAAACATATTTACTTGAAGAAAAATAGACTTTTTTTTTTTTAAAGATTTTATTTTTTTCCTTTTTCTCCCCAAAGCCCCCTGGTACATAGTTGTATATTCTTCGTGGTGGGTCCTTCTAGTTGTGGCATGTGGGACGCTGCCTCAGCATGGCTTGATGAGCAGTGCCATGTCCGTGCCCAGGATTCAAACCAACGAAACACTGGGCCTCCTGCAACGGAGCGCACGAACTTAACCACTCGGCCACGGGGCCAGCCCCAAGAAAAATAGACTTTTATGGTATAACAAGGAGCTTCTTATAATCAAGTTATTCTTCCTGTCAAAATTAAAATAAACATATAAAAATTCTCCCCTTTAAATCATGAATGAATAAATTTTAAACTAATTTTTCATGTCTTGGGAAATTTTGTTTTCCAATGAGAAATTTGAAAATAATAAATCTAATACATTTTGACTTACTAAATTGATCTAAATTTACACTGGTAAATCCAGTAGACCTCACTCGGTGGTTTTGCTGAGATTACTTCCTTATAGGAAATTCCACTATGAGTCTTCGCACCTGAGATCCTTCAATTGTTTTGTTTTCTTTCTGCAGAAAATATTACGGCAAAGCACATTGTGAGTAATGATAGCTCAGATAGCGATGATGAATCACAAGAACCCAAAGGTAAGAAAGCTGGAATCTTCTCTGACAGAAGTCCATTAGGCAAGGCTATGAATGTTTCGTCTGATTCTCTCACTCAAGATGCTACTGGTTGTCTCTGCTCAAGGCAGAGAGTGATAGAATGGTAACTTTCAATTCAAAGAGAGAGCTAACGCTGTGTATGTAATAAAATATGCAACACACAAATGTCCTTTATTTCTTTTTTTTCTTAATACCTCAAAAATATTCCCAGTTGAACAATTAGAGAACAAACGGAGATGGTAGAAATATCAAATTTTGTTTTAAGTCTGATTTAGAGCACTGGGCTGCTCAGCATGGAAACTGATCTGATCTGGGAACATTTTTACATGGTTTTAAATATTAAAATTTCATCTTTTAAAATTTTATTATTAAGTAACGTGTGAAAAATGGTATTCTCACTTCATTCCTGAGCCTTATCTCATTGCCAACGCTCCTTCTCCGAGGGAGGGATCAATGGCGAAGTAGGGTAGAATTATCAAGACCTTTTTGTTGCACATATTACTTTGTAGTATAAATGTTTTCTTTCACATTTTCGCAAAGCAGTTTTCAGCCTGATGTAAATCACGATAGTCGGTGATAGAGTTGGCACAGGGATAAGGCAAGGATTGGGGATGTTTGTTGCAAATGTTCTGTGGTAAGAAGGAATGATTTTACATTTTGACACAGCTGTTTGTACAGATGTTCCCAATAGTCCAAAAGCAAACAAAACAAGTAAACAAACAAAGAGAAGATTTTATAACTCAGTGCATACGTCCTATTACAGTTTGAATATGATCATCTAGATTTTAGAAGATGTTAAATGCTTTCTTGTCCAAAACTTAACAAATTCCACCAGCCATGGTATAGATATTGGAAGAGTCTGTTTTATCCTTGCTGAATCAACACTAAAATGAAAATTCTCCTTTCCTAGCTGGACTGTTACTTCCTCATAGGATAAGTTTGTGTAAATTAGAGAAAAGGTGCCTTCTCTCAAAAGTGCAGCTACGGAGGCCCACAGCTTGGCAGTTTCTTATGACTATTAAGAAAGGAAATCCTTTCCTGGGCAGACAAAGCTCTTGATCAGGCACAAGGCTTGGCCAGTGATGCGCATTCTGGACTTCAATCTTTATCTGCCTGCTATCCTGCTGCCGTATGCAGCTGATGATTTGCCTAGTTAGATAGAGCAGCCCAGTCGTTAGGCAGGAAAGAATCCTGGCCTGGAAGGAACTGAGTCTTTATTCTGGCTTCTTCATATTTTTAATTTTAATCTTAATTTTTTTAGTTGTTCAGATCTTTTTTTACAATTTTGAACATGCCTAGCATTTCTAGAATTAATTATGTATCAATTTAGGGATTATCAAGTAGAGATAGTAATGATTTGTCAATTATTAAGTAAATTGCTATAGATGATCAGTACCTTCGATCACTTCTGTAGTACTGACTGATTATCTTAAGGCTGAGAAGTTCAAGGACCCTTTGAATACGGCTGCTTTAGTTTTAGTACGAGTCTAGACTGGGGAATGATAATTAGGATGTTTTTGGGGATTTCGTATTACCTCTCAATGTTCATTTTTTCCCTTTTAAATAGACTTTATTTTCTAGGGTAGTTTTGGATTCATATCAAAATTGAGCAAAAAATACAGAGAATTCTCATATATTCCCTGCACCCCCACACATATAGCCTCTCTCACTGTCAACATCCTATACCAAAGTGGTACCTTTGTTACAATCCTGAACCCACACTGACTCATCATTATCACCCAAAGTCCAAACTTTAGGGTTCACTCTTGGTATTGTATATTCTATAGCTTTTCACAAATATATATTGACATGTTTCCATGATTGCAGTATCATACAGAGTAGTTTCACTGCCCTAAAAGTCCTCTGTACTCTATTCATTCCCAAGCCACCCACCCCCAACCCCTGGTAACCACTGATCATTTCACTGTCTCCATAGTTTTGCCTTTTCCAGAATGTCATATACTTGGAATCGTAAAGTAGATAGCCTTTTTGGATTGGCTTTTCTCACTTAGTAATATGCATTTAAGTTTCCTCTATATCTTTTCATGGCTTGATAGCTCATTTCTTTTTAGCACTAAATAATGTTCCATTGTCTCGATGTACCACAGTTTGTTTATCCTTTCACCTGCTGAAGAATATCTTGGTGGCTTCCAAGTTTTGTATTCATAATCGAATAAAGCTGCTGTGAACATCTGTGTTAGATTTCTGTGTGGATATAAATTTTCAACTCCTTTGGATGAAAACCAAGAAGCGTGATTGCTGGATCATATGATACGAGTATAATTTAGTTTTGTAAGAAACTTCCAAAGTGGCTGTGCCATTTTCCATTCCCACCAGCTATGTATGAGTGTTCCTGTTGCCCCACATCCTTGCCAGCATTCAGTGTTGTCAGTGGTTTGGATTCTGGCATTTCTAGTGGGTGTGTGGTGGTATCTCGTTGTTTTAATCTGCATTTCCCTGATGACATATGATGTGGAGCATCTCTTCATATGCTTACTTGCCATCTCTATGTCTTCTATGGTGAAGAGTGTGTTAAGGTCTTTTGCTCATTTTTTCATTGAGACACTTGTTTTCTTAGGGTTGAGTTTTAAGAGTTCTTTGTATGTTTTTAATAACAGTCCTTTAACAGGTGTGTCTTTTGCAAATAATTTCTCCCAGTTTGTAGCTTGTCTTTTGTTCTCTTGAGTCCCCTTCATTTCTTTTTTTTTTTTAAAGATTTTATTTTTTCCTTTTTCTCCCCAAAGCCCCCCCGGTACATAGTTGTATATTCTTCGTTGTGGGTCCTTCTAGTTGTGGCATGTGGGACGCCGCCTCAGCATGGTTTGATAAGCAGTGCCATGTCCGCACCCAGGATTCGAACCAACGAAACACTGGGCCGCCTGCAGCGGAGCGCACGAACTTAACCACTGGGCCACAGGGCCAGCCCCAATTTAGTCTTGTAATTTTGAGGAAGATCTTTAGGCGCTTTCAACTTTAGTTTCTTCAGATCTGTGCTGGCATCATTTTACCTGGTCTCACAGAATTTTTGTAATCATCAAATTAGCAAATGCACGCAAAGAGCTTTAAGTTGTAAAGGGCTATGCAAACCAAAATTTACTATTAGTATTACAGGTAATAAACAATAGATATCATTTATCTATTGTTGACTGCTAGGTTTGTCCCACAAGTGATGCCATTTCCAAGTATGTCATAAGGAAAGTAGATGTTCTACTGTAAAGAAGTGGGGTTTATTTAATAACAATAATAATGATGATAATGATGATGAAGAAAAGAAGCTCCAAATCTTTGGAAAATAATTGAGTATCTTATTCATATCCTGTGTAAATGGAGATATAAATCAGTTTAAAGCCTAATTTGTTCTAGTGAAAGATTTTCTTTGTCATGTTTGGCATTAGAGAAGTGTGGGAGTAGAAGAGAGTACACTTGTTTTTTGTGAATATGTAGTCATCTGGATTGGTTACTGAAAGATCTCTTCATTTTCCCAGTTCAGTTAAGCTAATCTTTGTGAAGATAAACATTTATTATGGTTTTCTCTATGCTTGGTTAACATTTATTGGAAATTATGAAGTTTGAACATAAACTCTCTTTTCTCTCTCGACACACACACAGATATAGTTTTGTGTGTGCCTGTATATTCGTATACAGAGGTCCCAGAAATCTGAACAGAAAGGACTTAGGCAGGCAGCATTATATTCCACCTTACAGTGTTCTTAGATTTGGAAAATGAGTGAGTAATATTAATGATGATGATTATCCTGCTGCTACAACTATTTCTACTAATAACTAGTGTTTATTAAGAATTTAATATGGGACGGGCACTTTTCTAAGAACTTTACATGAATGCACTGCCTCAGTTAATCCTCACGACGGCCCTATGAGGTTTACTGATGAGGAGGTGAAGGCTGAGAAGGGTTAACTAACTAGTAAACACTGGAGAGAAGGTTGGAATCCAGGCAGTCTGCTTCTGGAGCCAATGCTCTAAATAACTACACAAAACGGCTCTCCAGTAGTAGTGATGTGTGCATAGGGTTTAAGGAAAAAGTCATTTAAAACTGCTTCCTTTGGAAGATTGCTGAATTTTAAAACATTTTAAAGCATGTGTTTACATTACACAGTTTTAAACTACAAACTTTATAAGTAAGAATAAATTGACTGTTCCCAGGGTGTTTATTGAGCAGCAAATATGTGAATCCTTCAGTTGTCTGTTCCCAGTTTCCATAATTTCTTGCCTTTTACTAAACAGAATAGGGAAGGAAACTTAAGAAATGAAGAGGATGGGATTAGCTACTCTGGATTTTCCCTGTGTGTATGTGTGTTTATGTGTGTTATGTCCTTCCAAGCAAAAGGAAAGAAAAGGACTGGGGGAGGGGAGAAAGGAGAAAATAGAAGTTTCCTGGAAATCTAAGAATAGACCAAGTAACACGGTCAAGAACACAACCTTTAGATTGAGTCTAGGTAAAGGGTAAAGTAAGAACCAAAATGATTAACTGAAATATTTACGGTATTAATTTATACAAATAAACGTTTGTTAAATGGAAAGCCATAGAGCTTCATTGTTAATTTTAACACCCAAGTGCCCAAAGAAGATGATTGTTTTAAATGGATTTTGGAATCTGTATAATGATCTTTTCCTTTTCCTTAGGCACTGAGAATGAAGATGCTGAAAGGGACTATCAAAATGATAATCAAGCAAGTTGGGTCCATCGTATGTTAATGGCCTTGGTGAGTGACTCCGCTTTATTCAATACCAGAGAAGGACGTGCTGGGAAGGTGCACAACTTCATGCTGGGCTTGAATCTCAACACATCGTACCCACTGTCTCCCTTGAGGAACTTTACCACACAGGAATCCTTGGATGAAGATGAACTGGATGCAGCTGTAGCAGGTAAGTACGCAAAATATAACCCACGGAAGCTTATTCAGGAAATCTTTATTCCTTGTCTGGGAGAAATATTTTAATTATTATTAGTACTTATTCATTAATTATTATTAATACTTGTTATTAATACAATTATAGTCACATGCATTTAATGTGTAAAGGGCTTCGAATTACTGTTTTTTGGAAGAAAAAACATACTGGATAGCAAATAGCATCGTTACGCCAGCATAGAAAATTTTCATTGCAATATTGAGAACAACCTTAGATCTTCTCTGTATTGGTCAGGATTCACTCACAGAAAACAGGAAACCTTCACTCTTGTTTAATTGAAAGGAGTTTAAAGTAGGGAATTAGATGTTTACAAAATTGTTCCAAGGCTTGGAGGAGCAAGCTCCAGACTGAGCTTCCAGGAATGATTCCAAAAACACTTCAGAATTACCCTCACAAACGCCCCCACAACTGTGCTTGGCAGTAGAAATAACAGAAACAGAGCCTCTGTCTCATTTCCTCCGTCCAGTCTCCTGTGGGTGTTTCTCCTTGGCAAAGGTCGGGTCTCAGCAGAACCAGAGCTGTGATGGCGTCTGGTGTATGTAGTCTTCAGCCTGGCTTGTAAGTGCAGTGCAGTCATGCGTGCACCCTAGGGATCGGGGTGGAGTTGAGTTCACCCGTCTGCAACATCCGTCAGGCTATTGAATCTGTCCCTCCAGTTCTCAGAAAGGTTGGGTAACTTTCTTAGGGTCACCTGGTAAGAACCCCCTCACTTTCAGATTTGTCATTTAGCCAAATTCCAAAGAATAATTCCCTTTATTCTTCAGTTCCATGTATGTTCCAAATTAAAAGTTAAATTTGCATTGGTGACTAATCAGTACGTAATCATCTTTGTTATAATGATCCTGTCATCTTACATTTTTCTACTTCACCATACAATCATTTTCCCCTTAATTGCTCAAATGTCGTTTCTCAGTCATTTCTGCCTAAGGACATTGACAAGATGCTATAAAAACTTAGATGGGATTTTTCCGGAAAACTTTCTACCGCTCTTTGTTTAAGCATTGGATCTATAAAATATCTGTGAAAATTAAGACATGACTTTAGATTTTGTTCTTGTTTTGGTAGTGCTATTTCTGTTTGTTGCTTGAGCTTAAGGGAAATTGCAGAAGCAAGAGTTACCTCTGTTGTTTAAACAACAGGAGTAGAAACTCACTCTACTTTACATTATATTTATAGCATCAAAGTCTAGGATATGAGGTATGTCTGTTTACAGACCTGCAATCCAAACCCTTCCACATTAACTATAATAAAAGTCTATTTGTGATAAAGTCACTATTTTTAAATTCTTCCAAATTTAAACAAAAAAAACCACTTGACTGTGCAATCAGTGACATTTTTCTTGTGTTGTGGCACATGATGGTACTTATTGCCATTATAGTGTCAATTAAATGTGTCTTCTTTAGAAACTTAGGCTTCATGGATGAATGATGATGGGCTTTACAAAAGAAACAGCTTAGCTTCATAGAACATTGAGAGCTAGAAAGAATCTTTAGTTATTTTAGTCTATAGAAAACGAAGATCAAAAGAAGATAGTTATCATCTTTGCCTAAAATTGCTCAGCTGAACTAGAATTGGGACACAAGCCTCCTGGCGTTACTCAGAAGACTTTCTCTTCTGTTACACTCCTTTCCCCATCACCCTTGGTTTTATTAGTCATTGCCGATGTAAAAATGGAAGTTTCCTTTGTGTGTAATTTATTGTCTGTTTTACGTTATTACTTTGGTCTCATCACCCAGCAGAGCTCCTTCTGTGGTTTGCACAGCACGTGTTCTTCACTCCACATTTTAACAACTTCCTGGTAGTTTTGCAATATTTTATGCAGATTCAGAAGTGTTAGGGTTGCCAGATAAAACAGAGCATGCTCAGTTAAATTTGAATTTCAAATAACATATACATAGTATAAGTGTGGCCCTTGCAAGATTTGGGACATACTTGTCCTAAAAAGTTATTTGTGGTTTATCTGAAACTGGGCATACTGTATTTTTATTAGATAAATTTGGTAACCTTGGAAGTGTGCCCCTTTCATTACTCTCACCTTCTTTCAAATTGTTCTTTGTTTTTATCTTTCTTCCTTCCTTTGTTCGTTCTTGCATTCACACGGTATTTACTGAGCACTCACAATGGGTTTGGTACTAGGAATCCAGCAGTCAACAAGACAGAGGAATCCTTGCCCTCATAAAGACTAAAATCATTTCTTGACCTTTCCTCGAAGTTTTGATTAATAGAGAAATTTATATACTTTAGTTAACAATGATAGAAAAGTAGAGCAAAACTAAAAACCAGGAACCCTGATCCTGATGGAACCATAGGTCAGTGAGGATGCACAGTCTTCATTTGTCCTCTCTGTCCTGTCTGGAGAATAATAGCTCTATGTCACCTTATTTGCTTCCTTTCTTTATTCGGTGCCCTTTGAAAGACGAGTCCTGGACAGTTTTCATAAAATAAAATGAGGAAGTAGAAAACTTAGTCATCCCAAAATATGGTATCACATAGACTAAATATTGCTTTCATTGAGGTATTTTGAAATGTTGAGCCTAAAATTGTTTTAAATTAATGATCTTTGGAAAGAACTTTAAATTTTATTTCTTAGCGTTGATCTCATTAAAATTCCATTGCGTTCACTTTGTATTTATCCAATTGAAAAAAGATATATGGCATATTGATTTTAGTCAAAAATCCTGTTAGGTCAGTGACGAGTTTATTCAAATTTGTTACTTACAGACCAATGTTGCTAAAAATGGACTGCATTTTAGACTGAATTTACTGAACTGATTAGCGCTTTTTCAGACAAGACCCTTACCAAGATAAACCCTGTTTATCTCCCTCTGGTTAATTCCAAGTTTTAGAATAGCCATGTGTGTGAAATGAAAATGTAAAAGATTTGTCCTAAACTGTGATCATCTTGGTTCATAAAGCCTTCATTAAAACTCCTTTTTATTATACAGTTAAAATACCATCATTTAATTAAACATTAATTAAGGTTTTTTCTCTTTTATTTTTGTGCACACACCCCCCCCATGCAAAAGAAATGGAGATTTTTATCTTCTCTGGATATTATGTTGGAAAAAAATCCTACATTTTGGTTTACTATGTTGTGATTTTGTTTATACAGATTAAAGTTTGAGCATCTTGGAATTTAAACAATCCCTCAACCTAAAATGAGAAAAAATTAGTGCACTCTTTTTGTGCCTATTACTTCACCTTGCAGGCAATCTTTTGAAAACAGGAGAAATAAGATAATGAGATTCCCCCTGTTTGTTTACCTCAAAATAGCTGTATCCATTTAGAAACTAATTTTGGAGAAACTGCCTATTAATTACGTGACTTCTTTCCTGTTTACTTTTGTGTTTATGTTATTTACTGTGACACACACTGTCTGGAATAACAATAACAAATCAAGACATGAGTTAATTTAGGCCAGAGTTCAAAACACAAAAATCCAAATATTTGTACATCGTAAATGAATCTGTGTGATGTATTTATAAAATGACCATTGCAGATATCCACAACTGAGTTGCTTTATGAGAATATTACATATTTAACTTTGATATTTAGTTATCAATATAATAGGATACAATAGGGCCAGTAGGAATTGGTCTATGATGGTTACATCAGGGCCTGAGTTAAGTACTTTCCATGCTTTGTCCCAATTAATCCTCACAGCAACTTTATTTGATAGATTCTTTTACCCTGATATTACACATGAAGAAACTAAGAGTAAAAGGCAATAATTAATTTACAATTGCTAAAGCTGAACTCATGCCCAGCTCTGTTTGCCTCCAAAGCTTGAAGTCTTCACCATATGGAAGTCTATCTCACAAATTTACATAACAAATATTTTTATATCCTAAATAATGTTAACTTATTTAATTCATTCTTTTCTTTCTTTCCTTTGAAAAGATCCTGATGAGTTTGAGCGCATATATGAGCCTCTGGATGTCAAAAGTAAAAAGATTCATGTAGTGGATAGTGGCCTCACATTTAACCTGCCGTACCCGCTGATCCTGAGACCTCAAAGAGGAGTTGATCTCATCATCTCCTTTGACTTTTCTGCAAGGCCAAGCGACTCTAGTCCTCCATTCAAGGTAAGGAGAATTTATGTAGCTCTCCATTATCTATCATGTTCTTTTGCCTCCCTTGTAGCTATCTTAGTCCTCTTGACCTCAATTTCTTATCCCTTTACCCCATTTTCTACATTATTGCAAGTAATATTTCTAAAACACAGATGTGATTCAATCACTCTCTTGCTTAAAGAAACTTTTACATGATTCCCCATGACCCAGACACTCCTGAGCAGGACAGGAATGATACAATGTATCCAAAGGTCAGGAAGTAAATTAGACTGAGCTGTGGGAGTTAGCAGATGAAAGATAATTAAAACCATGCATGGGGAGTATACACTGTGAGAAGAGAAGGGAACATAAAATAGTATCTTGAAGATTCAACGACAAATCAGGGGAAAAGGACAAAAATCAAGGATATGTGCAGTGTTATGAAAACCAGTTGAGGATATTTAACAACAAGGAAATCTTTGGTGAAGTGGATGAGAGCGGTTTCAATAGGGTTGTGAGCGCAGAAATCATACTGCAGTGATTTGATAGATGAGTGGAAGTTAAGAAAATGGACACAATTCTGTAGATTGTCCAGGGAAGATGGAGATAGACTGTCTCTGCAAGAAGTTGTGGGGAACAGGAAAACTGTGTGTATGCGAAGGGGTGGGTTGTTAATGAAAGAGACTTGAGCATGTTTAAATACTGATGGCCAGGAGTCATTAATGAGGATGTCATTGGAAAATGGAGAGATGACACAAATGGTAGAGTCACATCCCTGGGAAGGTTTTGGGTTGAGGAGTGGAAAGAAGATGCAAAAGTAGAGGTCGAGAGTAGTAGGGACAAGAGAGAAGCGGGAAATAATTGGCTGTGGATGGAGGTTCGTTGTTAGGCATGAAGAAGGGCAGTTTAAAAAGTACTCATGATGACTTCTAACTTTTGTAGGAGTTGGGAGTCAGTGTCATCTTTTGAGAGTGAGAGGATGGAGGTAGTGCAGCCAGGGGTGTGCAGAGAATAGTCTACATCTGTGAAGAAGTGAGGAAAAGTTCTGAATAGACAACATAGGAAAATTGCTAGGCAGCGTTGTGGCCTCACCCTAGTGAGACTGTGAATGTTACTGCTCCCTCCGCCTGGAGCAACTTAAACTTTCTTTAGATGCATCTCAAATATTACCCTGTTAGACCTCCACAGGAATAGTTTCAATACAAACGACTTAGTAAATTCTGTGAATACAGCGATTTTCATGGTGTATTATCTGTATTTGTTTATATATATATCACTTCCACTGTCTGTGAACTCTTTTGGGACTAGAACAGTATTTTGTGTACGTATGTGTTTGTTTTGTTTTAATCATTTGGTTCTAATTGCTTTATAAGTGCCTGCCAAAATGTATGTAGGACATTTTTTGTGGGTGAATGAATGAAATGCTTTAAGAGAGGTGGAGTTATTATCCCCATTTCATAGGTTAAGAAATGGAAACTCACAGAGATTAAGTGAAACAGTCCATGGTCTTCCCATCAGGAAGAGTCAGTGATAACCCAGGGCCTCTGACATCTAGTTTTCTTTCTATTACACTATGATTGCACTGCTCTCAAGACTAATAGGGTTATAGTAATAACTCTTTAATATATAGGGAACCTCATATTTTAAAAATGCTGTCATATTTGATCCTTTTTGAGGCTGTTCGTGGTATTCAGACAGGAAAACAAGGATTGGTGGGATAAGTGATCTTACCACGTCAACAATTAAATAAGATAATGGATGAAGAGAGAAAAGCCCAGGACCTGACTGGGGAAGTGCGAGTTAAGTAGTGGTCAAGCTGGACCTCATTTCAGGGCTCCAGAATGAAAATCCGAAGCTCTTTCTCCTTCACTTTCCCCTTCAAAAAGCTGCATCCTTTGTACACACTGGGCACGCACTTTTTTCTGTGCTGTGTGCAGCAGTTAGTGGTAAAACAAGGTTCTTGATCTCCATAACATTTTAGGTGTTTGGGGGCAAATGCTTACATGCACAAGAGTCATTTGGAAGGAAATCTAGAAACTTATTGTTAAATAGCTGCTTGGATTTATGTAAGTATGTGTATTATAGGAGATCCATATAAGAATAGATTGGTGTTTCCTGGAGTGGATGAGAATGGAAATTAATGGAACAGGATGAAAATGGCACAGATGTGACAATGAGCACATCTGGGGACAGGAGTGATCTGCTTACTAGTGACAGATATTAAGCTCCCCTTAGGAGGGCTTTAGGGGAGAATTCAAGAGTGGATGTTAGGAAATAGAGAATCCTGAAGGGTTTCCAGCAGACAAATGACTTCATGAAACTGGAATCTTAGGATGATTAACCTGACAGTGGAAAGTAGGATGAATTGAAAAATGGAGGGCAAAAGATTAAAATCAAGAGGGATTTACTGTAATCCAAGCATAGGGTAATGAAGTATCGCACCAGGGCGGGTGACTGAAAACCAGGAGCAGGATTGATGACCTATGAGCAGCAGTGGGGAGCTGAGTCTCAATGGATGACTCTAAGAAGATAGCTTACAAGCTAGTTCTGGAGGTGAAAAAACTGTATCATTCACTTTACCAAAGGGAGTGTAAAATGTCAAAGGCAACATCTTATATATGAATCAGAGACCCACTACCTCAGTGAGTTGATATTGGAAGAAGGTTTTAGAATATACTTTGTCCCTCTAAAAAGAACTGTTGTACTTCGTAAATGTATTTTCATTCACCATTTCTAATTAAGAAGACTGTATACTCACTGTAAAAAATTTGGAAGTTTGGAATATATACCAAGTGCTTCTTCTATCCGTAGACCATGGCTACTGATATTTTGGTATTATAGTCTCTCTTCACTGTGTGTGTGTGTGTCAACACCAGTGTCATATAGTTTTGCATTCTACATTTTTCTACTTAAAATTATATTGTGAGCATTTTCCTATGCCATTAAATATTTTTTAAAACATAATTATAAACACTGCATGATATCTATGTGGATATGAAAGAATTTATTTAACAATGCTCTAGTTTCAACTTTTAGATTATTTCTGTCTTGTCACTTTTTTCTATAATGATCATCCTTGAACATGAAGCTATAATCACACTTTTTACTATTTCTTTAGGTTGGCTTCTTAGATATATATTAGTTTATGACTTTTAACGAATATTTCCAGATTGCTTTCCAAGAAGATGCACCAAATTACATTACTATATCAGATTGTATATGTGAGCCCTTGTTTTACATGGCTTTGCTGGCATGACAAAAATATTAAAAACAAAGTTAAAAAATTTATAATAGAACAGAAAGAAAAAGAAACACATTTTTGCTTGAATTTTCTTCCTTTGCTCATGAGATTAAATAGTTTGTCGTACTTATTGTATATTCATGTTTTTAAACTACTTTTAATTGGATTATTAGTGTTGCTGCTATTCGTTAATGTGTTATTTTGTATCTTAAGGATATTAAAGTTTGTCTTATTTTGGTAAACATGATCTAATGAGTCATTTGTATTGGAATTTTTATTTCTGATGATTTTAAAGTTTTAAATATTTAGGTAGTGACTTCTTCCATCGGTTTTACTCTTGAAATTCATACTTCTTATCAAGATCAGTTACATATGGATTGATATTTTTCTTTATATGATATATTTTTTAGAATATTTTAACTCATTAATCTTATTTAATATACTGGATGTGTAATAACACAATCTCTCAAAGACTTTTTTTAACGTTATTTCTGATGTTTCCTTTGTCATATCCTATATGGTTATTATAGAACACTGGGATCTGGTTTGTGTATATCTGTTGCGTTCCATTGGTACATCTGATGATCTGACAATTCATGTCTCAATGCCACACTGTATTTTAATAACTGTAGCTTTATTATATCTTTACTATTTTAGAGAGTCTACAATAACTACTCATATGTATATATCATATATTTACATATACATTCTTAATATATCTATAGACATTTCCAGTTGTGCATTCTCATGGATGTGCTTTAGAATTATTTTGTGAATTCCTTCCATTCCACTTCTCTCCCTCATATGCATATATACTCTTTTATTAAAGGTTTAGTATAGCATGAAACCTATCACTCTAGAAATAGCGAATTGTATTTTCAGAGACTTAATACAAAGGAAACAGCAGTCTATTATATATAATTCACTTTTTCTCCAAAAGAGAACTTCAAAGAGCTCAAATTGAGCAGTGAACTTTTCAGGCTCACTTGGAATATTGAAAGTGATTTTTTAAACTTATGAGTGTTGTTATGACTGTCATTATAAAAATATGCACTTCTGTATGGATCTAAAAGGTTACCCAAATATAATTTTTAAACAGATAAAAATGTACTGTCAATGCTGAAATAGAATACTTATTTTAGATATAGTAAGACTTAAAAATTGATGAGGAATCTACATGAAATTTTTTGATAGGAGGGAGAAGCTCCAATGGAATAACTGGATGTATGAAATGTGATTTTATTAGGGTGATTAAATAGTGAAAACTTTTCTATTTAGAGACTGAAATATGGATGCCATTTATAATAAAAGAGTAGAGTGTAAATGCTGGGCAAAAAATTAGAGCATTAACTTTATTTCACAATTATTGGTATAAGTAATTTGTAAATATAGTTGAATCTCAAATTTTGTCAGGGACATACAGAATGATGGATATTATGGATTCTGATAAAGGCAATCACAGTTTATATTGTATCTACATTGTAACTGGCCTTGAAAGTTGGTGACATCAATGTCAGTGATACTGGAATAATTTTTTAGATTAGTGGGCGCATCCCCTAATAATAGTCTAGATATAAAGAGCCTCATGATTCTAAATAATATTAATTGGTTTAAGAAAAGCAGCTCTGTGTTTCATTTTGACAAACCAAATTTCCTTTGACATATGTCATGCAAAATTAGTTTACCATTATTGTCTATCCAAGAATTCTAATAGGGTTTGTCTTTAATGTTGGTCAAGAAAATAAGTCAGGGTCTTCATATTCAAGTCTGCAAAATAAACAGATGTGATTTT